TCGCGCGAGACCGGTAGGTCCTGGCTCCGAATTTCGCAGGGGGCGGGATCGTGGATGCGCACTGCTGAGGAGTCCCATACTAGGACGAGTTGGCCGTCAAGTGCTTCCAGGTTTTCCGTGGTGGTCTAGATTCAGTTGACTCATGATTTCAACCAGTGTAATTATAATAAATTAGAATAGAATATAAATTAGATGTTTCATATTGACTTGATGTTTCGTGTCTAAGAGATGTTTAGTATTTGCTTTGTTTAAACTATTTCTTTTTCTTCACTTGATGTTGTTTGCTTATATCTTTCCATTGTTGTTTAGGACTGCAATTGATCAGTCTCTTGTTGACATATGTGCATCCTGTGCGGATTGTCTCGATATTGCATTATAAATCACAAGCTTTATAAGCAAAGATGGATAGTGACTAGCAGTAGGATCCAAGACGCGCGTCTCGTCCTATTGAGGACTCGTCAGCTGGATGTACTTGCATCTCAGAGTTGAAGTTCACTCTGGAACTCGAACCCAATACCGTTCGCGCTATTTATTTAGCTACCAAATCCTGATAGCCATATACTTGTGCAATGGGGTGAAGTTTTAAATTCACCTGGTGTTGTTTGCTTGTATCTTCCTACTGTTCTTTCTCTTATTCAAAAACGTTTTTTAGAACACGTTTAAAAAATCTAAGATAGATACATAAATTTATAGACATAATTTTTACTAACATGAATGGGGTAATCATTGACCATGAATTCGATTATTGAATTTGTTGTCTTATATGCCATCAATAATTTGGCTACAGGATAAATTCCGACCAATCCAATGTTAAATATCATGATGATCGTGCTTGGAACGTTATCACTTTTAAAGTTGAGATGGGTAAGTATTAGTGTTTTATTGATTATAGCCACATCCGACTTGTCTTTAGTTGTTTTTTCACATTTATTAATGGATTTATACGAGAACCAGTTGCCCCTTAGGAATTCTTTAACCTTCATCAATGGTAAATATCCTTTCTATTCCATAAAATAGTGCTTTAACCAATCCTTTCTAGTACCTTTTATACAAAAGCTATTTAAATCCAAATTGAGACCATTTCAAATACTTTTCTGACAAGCCGAACGTTGAACTCTCCTGTCTGCTCTCCGCTGTGTGGCAACGTCAATAAGGTGAAATATGTTGAGTTTTTCGTGCTTCATAGCAAATTGCATGTTGTAATGAGCATTTTTGTGTAGTTTAAAGTCAGAGTTATGCAACAACTATAGTAACTTAAATGTTCAAAGATATTAGAAGTGAATATGTAACATCATGATAGAGCGAAGATTTAAATAAAGTTGATACTATTTATAAAATTATGTTGCAAAATAGTACAGTGTGCAAGGAAAGATTCAAGCTAGGAATAATAGAATCAATCAAAATTAGTTAATTATAAATTTCAAAGAATCGAAAATAATGCAATCAAAATAAATGAAGTGATTGAGAAGAATGCCGTAACAAAATTGTAGAAAATGATTTATCACTGTTCATCTTTAAGCATGTAAGTTTCGTTCGAGGCCCTTTGTATTGCTATAGGCTTTAATATACTTTCAAAGATTAGGGTTCTATTATCCATTAATCACCTTGAAAGATTTCAAATAATCAGTTTGTAGTAGTCCTACATCCAGTGAAGCTTATTCTTCTTCTAACAAGTTTAAGATTCAACTACCGTGTTCGCATCGAATGTGTCATTTACAATCTCATTAATTATCTTGGTCTAATTAACTCTTATTTACGTAAACTTCTAAATATGTGCATGTCTGCCTGTATATTTTTATCACTTGTTTATCTGGTTGCAAATTTCTTCAGTCAATACATTCTTGACTGATTTACACGTATTTATATTCCTTCATACATTCACGTTAACATTCATATTCTCTCCTAAATTAATGATTCTTTCTGCTGACCATAGTGTTCCAAATACATTTGTGCTATCCACTTCATATTACAACTTCTACTATGATGGAACAGGATACGTGTTCGTGAATTTGTAGCTCATTTACCTTTTTATGGTCACGTTGTGTAATATCTAGCTTTTTTTCTTTCATTTGGTGTATAAATGCTAGTTGATTTTATTTCAGACTCTTTCTCTTTGAAATTCGCTATATTATCCAGTTCACTGAAGACATATATGAACAGCTTAAGATTACTCAAATGAAATCCCCAATAAAAATTACATTTTTATATAGAGTACTGACGTAATAAATGAATGGAAAAATTGTCGAAAATGTTGAATATCGCACTTCTATTGAAAACCGAGAAAAGCATGGTTATCCTTAGACTGCTATGATACATTAGTAAGTATTCTGGTTAAGGTGTTTTAATTGAGTAAATAAACAAAATAATTATTATTATGTAACATCCAATGAACATATAGGATGGGAATCTCATGGACCAAGGATCATCAAAGCCTCCTTCAAAACAAAAAAGAGGGTATTTCAATGAACATCATCCAATGCCATGCGCCTACAAACGATTACAATCAAGACGCTAAAGATCAATTCTACAATAGGCTGCAGTCAATCGTCGAGAAGTGCCCAACAAAGGACCTGACCATTCTGATGGGAGATTTCAACGCCAAGGTTGGAACGGACAACACTGGATATGAAGACATCATGGGACGACACGGACTGGGAGAAAGAAACGAAAATGGTGAGAGATTTGCAAACCTATGTGCCTTCAATAAATGGTCATAGGCGGCACCATATTCCCACATAAACGCATACACAAAACCACATGGACTTCACCGGATCACACTACGCAGAACCAAATCGACCATATTTGCATCAACAAAACGTTCAGGAGGACTATAGAGGACGTGAGAACCAAGAGAGGAGCTGATATAGCATCAGATCATCACTTGCTGGTCGCCAAGATGAAATTGAAACTCAAGAAGCACTGGACAATGGGGCGGACAATATCACAAAAGTTCAATACGGCCTTTCTTCAGGATACTGACAAACTCAACAAATTCAAGATAGTCCTCAGCAACAAGTTCCAGGCCTTTCATGATCTACTCAATAGAGAAGGAACTACTGTGGAGAGCAACTGGAAGGGGATCAAACAGGCAATCACTTCAACATGCCATGAGGTTCTGGGTCTCAAGAAGCACCATCACAAGGAATGGATCACTGTTGATACACTGGATAAGATTCAAGAAAGGAGGAACAAGAAAGCAGCAATCAATACCAGTCGAACAAGAGCAGAAAAAACCAAGGCACAAGCTGAATATACAGAGGTAAACAAGCAAGTGAAGAGGAGCATCAGAACTGAAAAACGTAAATATGTGGAAGATTTAGCAACGACGGTGGAAAAGGCTGCAAGAGAAGGAAACATGAGACAATTGTATGATACGACAAAGAAACTCTCTGGAAATCACGGTAAACCGGAGCGACCAGTTAGAAGCAAGGAAGGCAAGGTAATCACCAACATTGAAGAACAACGAGACAGGTGGGTAGAACACTTCAAAGAACTCTTGAATCGAACAGCTCCACTGAACCCACCCAACATCGAAGCACCACCCACGGACCTCCCAATCAATGTTCGCCCACCAACAATTGAAGAAATCAGCATGGCCGTCAGGCAAATCAAGAGTGGCAAAGCAGCAGGACCGGACAACATCCCAGCAGAGGCACTGAAAGCAGAAGTAGCGGCAACTACAAGGATACTCCACATTCTCTTCAATAAGATTTGGGATGAGGAGCAAGTACCAAAAGACTGGAAAGAAGGACTTCTGATCACAATACCAAAGAAAGGATTTTCAATACAAATGTCAAGACAGTTCTACTATATGGGGCAGAAACCTGGAGAACTACGAAAGCCATCATCCAGAAAATACAGGTGTTTATTAACAATTGTCTACGCAAAGTACTTCAGAGCCGTTGGCCGGACACTATTAGCAACAACCTACTGTGGGAGAGAACAAACTAGATCCCAGCGGAGGAAGAAATCAGGAAGAAGTGCTGGAAGTGGATAGGACACACATTGAGGAAAGCACCCAACTGCGCCACAAGACGAGCCCTCACATGAAATCCTCAAGGTCAAAGGAAAAGAGGAAGACCAAAGAACACATTACGCCGGGAAATGGAGATAGACATGAGAAGAATGAACAAGAATTGGATGGAATTAGAAAAGAAGGCCCAGGACAGAGTGGGTTGGAGAATGCTGGTCGGCGGCCTATGCTCCATTGGGAGTAACAGGCGTAAGTAAGTAAGTAAGTAACATTCAATGAAATGTTAATACAAAGGGTAACAATTTCATGGCCAAATTAGGCTTACGGAAATCCTCATTACAGTAACCTGTATTGTATAATAAAAAGAAATACATCAAGGGCATTTTAACTATATATATATATATATATATATATATATATATATATATAATTGTGTTAGTACAATAAAATTGATTTGATACAAAGATAATGAAATAATCTGATTGATTCAACTAACTAGTTGCTAATACGGAACCAATCTTCATCTCTCATCTGAACAAAATGCAAATAAAATCTCGCGGGGTGCGGGATCGCGGATGCGCATTGCTGAGGAGTCCCATACTAGGACGAAACGGCCGTTCAGTGTTTCAAGGTTTTCCATAGTGGTCTAGCTTCAATCGACTCATGATTTCAATCTGTGAAATTTCTAAAAAATCTCCACAAACCCCTTCTGATAAAAATATTTATATAAAATATCAGACAAAGATAATATGGTTTATAATTAGTAAGAAATGATTAATCAAGGACGAACGTTAAGGTCACAAAACAACCAATAGGTATTCAGTCTCACTTATCATTGCAAAACAAATAACTAATTAATAACAAAAACAGTGATTGACAACAAAGCAAATCGATTTAAGTTAATAACTATAAAAATATTCAAAATGGTTTGTGTCTAGAATGACGCAGTGTTCTATAACAAGAATCATTATTAGAAATCCTTGATTATATTTTACGATCAAGTAATTTTGGTGGCTATTTTTCCAAGGTCATGTAGATACAATTTGGAATGATTGGATTGGTCCATGCAATCGTTGTCAATGTTTGTCTAATATTGACATCGTTGATGAAATTAAAAGTTCAGATGTTGTTAGGTAACCTTATTACGTCGTGGTTGATTATGACCACTTTTCTGAAGAACGTTGGACAAAACAGTGAGAAGTAAAAGTGCGTCTCCTTATATTAATAAATGTGTTATGAATTTAAGTTGTGGTCGATTTTTATCCTGTGCTAATTGTTGTGTCCTTTACTGGAAAATTAGAGAGCAGCGTACTTATCGATCGATTCAATGACACGTAAACACGTACGGACGGCCTAGAGTCTCTATTGGTCTCGCTTCCCTGTCTAGCCCAGTTAGTTGAGTCCAGAACACAAGTCACAACCTCTGAGATATGAATCATTATATTTCAAACATACTTTGTTTATATACCAATCAAGCACACCACATCGTACCATAAAATAGAAAACAACATTTTGTACAATATACAACAAGTGAACAGATATCGACAAATAGAAAATACCCATTTAAAGTCCAAGGACACTATTGGACTTAACATGATAATTATTGGTCTATTCCTGCGCATCCACAACAAAATGTTAAATACTATTAGCTACTCAGTGGAACAGTTATTCAGTTGTGATAGAATATCTTGGTCAATACAGTTGTTACCGTTGCAATTCTCGTTTATAATGTTATCTGGTCTGAATACAGTCCATCGTTCTCAAACTTTGCCTATTATCAACCAACTACGACCTTGAAAAATGTCATTTCTTGAGAAATAAAATCTCTTTTGTGAAAATCCACTTCACTTCTCAGTTTATGAGCATTAGATTTACGGTCGAAATGATTTTGTGTATGATTCATTAAGCCTATCTGATCACTTTACAGCCTTCTGGCGTTAATCGTCTCCCCTTGGGTTTATTATCCCCATTACTTGCTCCTGTTACCTCTCATAGAGGACTATAGGCCGCTCACCAATATTCTCTATCCAACTCTGACCTCAACAACCTTCTCCAGTTCTTTCCAGTTGCTATTCACCCCTTTGATGTCTACTTCTAATTCCCGACGCAGTGCATTCCTTGGTCTTCCTCTTTTGCATTTCTCTTTAAGATTCCAAGTCAGCGCTTGTCTCGTGATGCAGTCTGATGATTTCCGTAATTTATATTCTATCCACCTTCTCAACTTGAAGCTGGCATGTTCTCTTCCACAGTAGATTGTTGCTAATGGTATCCGACCAACGGACATCAATCAATTTGATGCTCAAAAATCAATCTAACATGTTAGTCAATTGGAAAAGAGATACATAGTAATGTATCTAGGGTCTCAGTAACAACTAGTTATTAACCGATTTATAAGGACGAAGCTGATGATAACGACACCATGTATTGCTTAAAAATCGTTCAAACATTATGAGTTTCCAAACTCACTATTGGAAAAAATGCAACCCATCCATTTACGACGGAATTTTTCTGAATCCAAAACATTGCTAACAAATGATATGACTTTTTCAGCATACCTTAATAAAAAATCGAATATTAATGATATTTGGTTGAGAAGAGGAGAGTAAACCAATGACGTTAGAATAAAAATTCAAGAGAATATATGAAGACTGACTATGAAGAAAGGAAGTAATGTGATTTATAACGTGCTCTAGTATCGGGTATGCTCATGATTAAAGTAAAGAGAGCTGTTGTATAGATTTATCGTTAATGTAAAGGTCTGGTTTGCTAAGATAGATGATAGTCCTTTCCTCTGTATAGCAAAGACTTACATGCAAAAATTGAGCTAAATTCAGGGAAAAAAGTGAGATTTTTTTGTTCATAGCTAAATGACTTTAATGTCACAATCCTAGTTTAAGCACCTTTCAGTATTATTAGTATATCGTCTAGAAAATATTATGAATATATACATTCAAAAATTTAGATTTAGCTATGTCCATGGTCAACCCTTCCGTGACTCCTTGTTATGTCATAAAGCTCATTCAAACCTATGAGGTAGAATCAGTTTCCTAAAGATTATAGTAACTGTCTAAACTAGATTTCTGAATAGTCTCTTTTTAAGGTTTCGTAATTCCTGGGTCGATATTCTCTGAAATACACAATGATGCTTAATGAGTTACTTGTTTTCATTAACAGTAACACTTACCCTCTTTGATATTTTACAGAGCCATCCAAATGCTTCTAATTTCCTGTCATTCGGTCACATTTTTATACCAGTAGAACTGATCGCCACCATTAAGCTAGCTAAAATAAGTAATTTCTAGTGGAGATTTTAACCTTCCATCAAATACTTTCGTAACTCACTACCGTAATTGTTGTAAATTTTATAATATTATGTGAAAGAATATATGTTCATTTCATAGTGTATAATCTTTCAGTGGCCCTATATCTGACTCCAGTTAGATTGGACGAATGATTGTTATATAATAGTTACTGTCGAAATAAACATCCCAGCTTACTTACTTACTTACGCTTGTTACTCCTCGTGAGGGAGCATAAGCCGCTCACCAGCATTCTCCATCCAACCCTGTCCTGGGCAATCCTTTCCAGCTCCTTCCAGTTCCTATTGATCCTTTTCATATCTACTTCTGTTTCCCGACGTAATGCGTTCCTTGGCCTTCCTCCTTTCCTCTTCCCTTCAGGATTCCAAGTTAGGGCTTACCTCATGATGCAGCTTGATGATTTGCGTAATGTATATCCTATCCATTTCCAACTTCTTCCCATAATTTCTTCTTCAGCTGGAATTGGTTTGTTCTCTCCCAGAGAGGGCTGTTACTGATGGTATCCGGACAATGGATGTTGAGTATCTTGCGTAGACAACCATTTATAAATACTTGTACCTTCTTGATGGTGGTTGTTGTAGTTCTCCAAGTTTCAGCTCCATACAGTAGAACTGCCTTGACGTTCGTATTGAAGATTCTCACTTTGATATTGGTTGAAAGTTGTTTTGAGTTCCATATGTTCTTCAATTGTAGGAATGCGACCCTTGCTTTGCCGATCCTCGCCTTTACGTCTGCATCTGAACCTCCTTGTTCATCGATTATGCTTTCCAGGTATGTGAAGGATTTTACATCTTCCAGAGTTTCGCCATCAAGAGTCATTGGATCGCTGTTCTCCGAGTTGTATTTGAGGACCTTGGTTTTCTCTTTGAGAATGCTGCTACAGTGGTTGTCTTCATCTGCATTTGTTCATGTGTATGCGATAGGCGGGCTAGGTCATCTGCGAAGTCCAAATCGTCTAATTGATGCTGAACTACATCCCAGCTACTTTCGTATATAATTATTGAGTTGGCTGGCGTTAGTGAATAACAGAATTAAATAAGTTAAATACGAGAATGAATACTTGAATTTCATACAATCGTTGATCCAGACAAACAAGCGGAGAAACGAAGTGAAATGATGCGCTGTGGACAAGACATGTGAGCCAACTCGATTTAATCAAGCATGACTCGGTATTTATAGTCAGGCAAAAATAAGCTACAGACATGTTATGAGTAGGATAAGATGTGTATACACATTCGTTTACATAAAAATAGACAAGGTTGATAAGCAAATAATTAAAAAGGTCAAAATGTGATTCAAGAAGCATGAATCAACTGGCCGGTTCGGAAGCTAAAATAAGCTGTGATTACCGTCATCATTAGTACATATACTTGGATAAACAATAATAATAATAATAATTTCATTAATTTTATGATCTGTTAATAATAATAATAATAATGCCATTAGTAGTTATTTTCAGCTTTAAATTTTTAAATTTTTTTATAAATTACATCTTGTAGTTCAATAAAAGAAACATGTAGCTTGACAACAGTGCAAGCCCCGTCAGTTTGTTACTAATTCAATCAGTTATAAAAGTTGATCGTAATACACGCTAATTTGAAATAAATCAATATATATATATATATATATATATATATATATATATATATTGATTCGACAATATAGAAATACTATTGATGTGATTAAAATTATTAGTAATAATTGTAATATTTTCAATTGCTAATTATTTCCCTTTAATGGAAAAAAAATCGATTAATCTTTTGTGAATGATTACATTTTTTAGAAAAGACGGAATACATATTAGCTAACGGAGATATGTGTATACAGACATGTATTTCATGTATACTATTAAACCATTAACCCTACAAATAGTACAATGCACTAACATTCAACTATTTACCAAACATAATTGATAACATGATTACCATTAGTAACAAAGATTTTAAATCTGCCTATTAAAGTCACGTGAATGTAGGTCAAATTATTTCTTTGTGTTGATTATAGATTTGAAAATTTGTTAAAATAAATAAGATTTAGAAACATCCGTACCAGGTAATAGTAATCGTTTTTTCACATTTAGTTTAGGGGAATATAACAAAATAGATAGGTAGATAGATAGATAGATAGATAGATAGATAGATAGATAGATAGATAGATAGATAGATAGATAGATAGATAGATAGATAGATAGATAGATAGATAGATAGATAGATAGATAGATAGATAGATAGATAGATAGATAGATAGATAGATAGATAGATAGATAGATAGATAGATAGATAGATAGATAGATAGATAGATAGATAGATAGATAGATAGATAGATAGATAGATAGATAGATAGATAGATAGATAGATAGATAGATAGATAGATAGATAGATAGATAGATAGATAGATAGATAATTTATCCTTTCACTCAAATCAGTCTGTCAGCATTATAATTATCCCATCATACAGTGTTGCAATACAGAAGTTCACTTTTTAATTATATGTTCTTATTTTCAAATGGAGCAAAGTTTTATTTATAATTATCTAATTTGCATAATCTAGGTGTTTTATAAAGATGGATTGCAGTGTTATTGCATTATTGGCAGCCTATTTTAAAACACTAAGCGGGTTGATATTTATAATAATATTTTACCGATAAGTGGATTTTATTCAGTAAACCTACGTCTTAAAGCTTTTCTTATGATGTAACAAAGGATGCTCCCAAATGCCCTGGTACGGCCAAGGATCGGGAGAGTCAGTCAGTTCTCCCTATCGAAATGCTCTCACATTACCAGGGAAGTCCTACTCACTGACTTTTCGCAGCATTACTGTTGTTTACGAAAGTGAGAGGACGAAAAGCGAATGTCCCCCGCCCTAACCGGGTTGGTCGATTCACCTAAGGGAGTTGGAAAACCCTGATTCCAAACCAATGGTGCGCATGGGCTCCGGGATCCTGATGGAACAAATGGCGTATTAACCTAGTGTTGGTCACCGGCTACCATGGGGCTGCATCTCCTGACGTTGCTTCACTGCTTTGTGGATCAGACCTTTAGGTCAAGGGGTCGGTGTGTGGCCCCCTAAGAAAACCACCTGCTTCGGTCTGGGCACCCGGGAAGTATCCTAGCCCTCACACAAATCGAATGATTTATGTGGCACATATCTACTTGATGCTTTCTTAAACCTATGTTTATGTGTTCAAATAAAATAAAATAAAGCAATGTCACTATGTAAACATTTTTACCAACTTACATCAAATGAAGAATATATATATAATTCTAGAAGAAACATTTGGGTTAAGTTCATTAAAATGTAAAACAATATTCATTCTATTGACTGAATCCCCTAGGCCAATATAAACGTAACTAATTTTAAAATACAGCCAGGTCTAAAATAAACACCGTTGTTAAGTACTTTTGTTATGTTAATCCATATTTCATACATTGAATTAATGATATAGTCACACATATAAGAGTATTGATTAATATGTACAATGTATGGAATCAATAATGTAATGTCACTAATTTGTCGTAAACTAACATTAAAAAAGAAAATAAAAGGAAAATAAAGAGATACGGTATTAATAAGTTATTTGTTAATTTGTATCATGTGTTGGACAATATTAATCGAATAGTGATGTTCACTGGAGAACTATTAGAAATTCAAAAAGCACCAAACAGCTACTTTGTCCTCGTTTAAATTACTCAATAATATGCATTTACAACACTATACAGGCTGAAGAAGTCATTCATACTGTTTTCAGGTTTCACGTTGTACATAATGGTACCATTTACGTCGATGAATCAATATCTAATAAGTTTATTTATCATAGTTTGTGGTATATTTACAAATAGATAGTCACAAACTTGAGTTGGTTCTGTCTGAGACAATAATTGAAGTGAACATAGGTCAATAAGGTCAGATGAGCTTTTTAGCAGTAAAAATATAATTCTTCGATGAATATAAAGAGGAGAGTACATGTTCATATTTCCGGGCATGTTTCAAGAACTCGAAACTGAGAAGTGCAGTGGCTCTTAACAATGTAATAGCTCGCCACCGGACACACCAGTGACAATTCTTCAAGCCTTCAGAATTACCAGTAGACAAAGAAACACAGAGTCTGTTCGGTTTGTTGAAGTAATCGCAATAAAAACTCAAACCTGACTTGTGTATCAAAAAGAGACAGTAATAAACCTATTACTGCCCTGGTAAATTATTTTTTGTCATTATTTCATTAGTATTCATTTTGTTATTTGGTCTTCCCTAACCGGATTTTTATTTTATATACATTAAAACCAGCCCTTCATTTATATATTCCCACTGATTTAATCATCTTGTCTTATGTAAATTCCTCAACAACAGTTGAAGCGAACGGTATTGGATTCGAGTCCCAGAGTAAACTTCAACTCTGAGATGCAAGTACATCCAGCTGACGAGTCCAAAATAGGATGAAACGCGTGTTCTGGATTCCACTGCTAGCCACTAACCATCTTTGCTTATAAAGCTTGAGACATAAGGGAATATGGAGGCAGTCCTCACAACATACACATATGTCAACAAGAGACTGATAAATCTCAGTCCTAAATATCAATGGGAACATAGAAGCAAATAACAAAAAGCGAATTTAACACTTGTAAAATTATCAGAATGGGTTTTGTGGAGATTTTTTAGAAATTTCACAAGTTGAAATCATGAGCCAATTGAAGCGCAACTTCGTGGATTGGTTGAAGTTAGACATTAACACCGTTGGATGCTGGCTCAGTGGTCTACTGGTTAAGTGCTCGCGCGCGAAGCCAGTAGGTCCTGGGTTCGAATCCCGCGGGGGGCGGGTTCGTGGATGCGCACTGCTGAGGAGTCCCATACTAGGACGGGACGGCAGTCCAGTGCTTCCAGGTTTTCCATTGTGGTCTAGATTCAATTGGCTCATGATTTCAACTTGTGAAACTTGTAAAATTATTTCTTTACAAGTTTAGGATAAACACAATAAACTCAAACAAGAAAGAAACTGGTTGATTTACGTGTCATATAAAATGTGCAAGCACTTGATACGTAAAACATTGTGAGTTTTACCAATATGATGATGAAAATAACTTATCATCCTATAAGTTTTAAGCGTTCTGAACACTATACAAACTTATATCTGTCAAGTACTTTGAATTTCGCGCTAAAAACCAAAAGCATTATTCGTGGTATTGATTCCCTCGTCCTAATAACCAAATTTCATCACAATTGTATATTACGTTAGCGTAATATAATTCAAATAACACTCTCATTACAAATTAACATTTTAAGACATTCATGAGATAAATAAAAGGTCATACCTATTACATTGAAACATCAAAACAAAGAATATAATAGGAAAAAAAACCTACTAATTACATCAAAATGAATAATAAATCCAAATCAATATATTAACAGGGTAAAATTAGTGTAAGTACAATTTGTAATTATGTGCACAATGGGGGTTTGCACTTGGATTGAACTTACCCTGGTTATATTGATTTTTTTCCAGATTTTAATGTCCATACTAATATGACGAATATTTGTTTTTCTTACTATCCTTTTTGTTCAGATATTGTAATATCTCTAGTTTGATTGTTTTGTTTTTCATGTAAATATCTAATTAAGCTTCACCTAAGATCAAGTTTTTGTTCAAAAATATATAGAAAGATTATAATAATGTCAATTTTTGATAAAAATTCATCTCATTAAATCAATTAAATTTATTAATGGATTACTTAAATTAATGGTGAAAAGTAGTGATTAGTGTAGTCCAATAATATCACAGATAAAACTGGATGATCGTTGGATTACTTCGGAAACTAAGTGAAGTTGAAAACATGAACGATTGAACTCTAACTTCATGGTCTGTAGATGACACACTTGCTTTGCAATCGTATAGTTACTAGTAATAACAAATATCCATAATAATAATAATAATAATAATTTCGATATTGTCGGATAAACATCCATCATCCGCTATTGCTGAACAGGCCATAAGATTGATCTAAACTCGGCCCTTGTGGTGTTGTATGAAAGTGTAAAAGAGCGTATACAAAGGTTTATTGAAGCCTTAGCCATACGAAAATTCAAACCCCTTTTGTGTATTCAAAAACAGTTTGTTCTCACCTTAAACTTACCCTGATAATATTGACTCATTATCCAGAGTGATTAGGTTTCAAATTGTGTTCACATTATTATTATTATTACTCTTATCATTATCCTTATCTCCTCTTACCCCGTTTCCTGTCTAGTTGACCTTTTATTTTTATGTATAAATGCTCTTAACAAGTATATGTGTGATCAGATGGTTAGAAATGTTTTGCGCTAATACGTCACATAATTCTGATAATCTTCGTCTTCTTATTACATTATCGAAATTTATCGAAGGGACTAATTGCTTTAAATAATAATAACAGTAATAAGTAATGTTGTGGATGTATTTAGTATTATAAGTCTCACACTGAAACAAAATGATATTTTTAATTTTATTTGGATTTTAATAAGTTTTTGTCAGTATAGTGTTGTGAAGATTGTTGAGTAGTATTGAGATCATGAACCGATCAATGTTAGATCACAGTTGGAAACCTGGAAGAACTAAAAGGCCGTTTAGTTCAAGCATGAGATTTCTCAGAAATGTGCACGCACGACCTTCGGTCCCATGAACGAACACTTGACCTTCAGACCACTGAGGAGGCATTCAGCGGTGTTAATTTCTAACTTCAATCCCTTAACGATATTGAGCGACCACCTCCCATTGTCTTTGGTGGCTAATTGCCTCAAATCGGACACAGATTAACTCCATTGCTCATGGCTTATCACTAGAACTCCAGAAATTTCCTCTCGAAGTTGGCCTTTAGTGAGCATATGATAATTATCAACAAGCGGTTGCGTAGACCAATGAGTTTCATTGAAATTATGAACCGATAAATTTTAGACCACCGCTGAAAATTTGAAAGCTACTTGACTGATATCAGTCTTCTGGGCATTCCTACACAGAACTTACATACAACTTCATAAGAAAACCAAATCTTTCTAATTATAGTCTCTACAATATTCACAATCGTGTACTACTATTATCATTATTATTACCTTGATCATTTGTTGTTATCTGTAGTTCATTTATTTTTGTTTATTTGAAGAGTCGGTTATATGCTACATAAAATTATATCAAATCATTTTACGTATTCACTTTTATAGGCCGGTAAAATTGTCAGATTCAGTCAAAGCCGTCCGCCGTTTCGTTCCAACGACCTTGAATGGCCTGGTATAAGGTGGTCATTCCGTATTTCAACTACTGTGGGTTTTTTGGGTTTCCGTTAGATTGCATGAATTGTTGTATGACTTAACAGTTCTAAACACGCGAAGTTTGCGTGAATCAGTGTTTTACTCAACGATTAGGACGAAATAACCGGTATTCCCTAAATGTTAGTAGTACTTTCTTCAGTTATTCAAGTGTTAATGGAATAAATAAATTTTAAAAAATAATTACCCAGTGCTGTTTATAGTGCCACATGTTCAAGAAATATTTTAGTCGATGTAAGTGAGGCTTTTCAACGTAAAATACTGAACAGGCGTTTCGGAAGCTGAACTGAATTAGATTGTACGCTAAATGAATTCCAAAGTGTAGGAGAGAATAATTTTATCCCTTTTCAGACTACACATACTCATTACGTTTATATCGAAAGTAAATTACTGAAGGACATGCGGTTTAAACACTTGTTTGGGGTGTTTCAATGCACATTTGGTCGTAATTCCAGTGTATTCTTATGTTGCACAAAGTATGTACTTATGACAATTCGCGTTAACTTTAAAATTATTTTAATAGTTATTTGGTGATTTATGGCAGAGTAAAAGTATATCAAGTGGAAAACCAGTGAAAAAAGAAAGCATAGGAGAATTTATAAACCGTATCTTTTAGAACGTGATCCAAAGTAAACAGTTTTTAGGTTACTAGGTAGATACTTTAATTGTCAGCCACTAACTTGGAATTTAATGATTTGTTTCATTAAATTAAATCAATGTATGACATAGTGTGATCATTATTTAATGTCATAATTTAATCATGTGGGTTTTGTGGAGATTAAATTAACTTGTAGCGTGTATTCGCCATGGATTCATATCAATTAACAAACCATTGAAAACTAAAGAATAGCCATCAGTTTTTCCATTCCAGTGCAGTGCGCACTTATGACCACACATGAGATCGAACCCAAGAGCTTCAAATTATGTGGTGAACACCCACTCATTTGAACTAGTATGTTGGCATTTAATGGTTCAGTTATAGCCGATATTTGGTATAGCACGATGTTTGACTAATACTATTGTTGACAACTGTTTCACTCATGACATGATTGAACTTCAACAGTTGCCACTTCCCATTAATTCTTAAGTAACATCTAAAAGCAAATCCCTAATGATCGGAGTATATTAGTTTACTTGTATGAGATTTGCAGAGATTAGTTTGATTTGTAGGTTTTTGTTCTAATGATTAAACATTCTCCACCGTAACTGACGGTTCTTGGTTCGACCCCTGGTTTGGTAGTAGTTAATCATTGTTGAAAAGTTGTACACTAGGACAAAACAGTTGTCCATTGCTCCCTGGTTTTCAGTGGTTTCTCAAGTGAAATCAATCTGTGACGGACTCAACCTATATGTGTGAACATTTTAAATTTAAATTTATGGTAAATGTGGTTTTGATTGACTTGGTTAGATTTGTATGAGTAATAATGATAATATTAATTATGAGAATACGATTGAATAATGTACTGGTCTAAAATCCTAAAAAATATCATTAAAGTATCTCACAAACACAAGTCATAAACGGAAGCCATGGTAACTCAATTGTTGAAATGCAACAACCCAGTAATACACCCTAATAAATTATGTATCCGATTCACTTAAATTAGTATTGTTTATGGTAATCAAATTTAGTACAGATAATTTTTGAAAAATAATGGCTAATTTCTACATTTTTAAGTTTATTCTTACAAATATTATGTTTCCCTGTCTAAAAAACCCAGTATGACGGGTGAAAAACACGAGTTTAGTAAAAATGAAATCTTTGATTACAATTACCTTCTGATATCTGGTACTCATATGCTTCATGATTGATGAATTTTCTAAAAGTAATGTATACAATACACATAGTGAAGATTAAATACGTTAATGACAACATCAATCTTTAAAATCAATTACAAATCACAAATACACTGAAAACGTGTACGTAACAAAAACAGGAAAACTTTGTTGTGATAACTAATGAAAAGAAGTAAAAGTGAAGGTGAATAAGAAAACATTTTCAGTTTGAGGAATTGTGGAGATTGTAGTATTTTAACAGCTGAATTCATGAGTTGACCTAAGCTAGACTGCTATTGAAAACCTGGAAGCATCAGACGGCTGTTTCGTCCTAATATGAGACTCAACAGTGCGCACCCACGATCCCGCATGCAGGACTCAAACCCAAGACCTTCAGTTTCGTGCGCGAACACCGAACCTCTAGACCACGGAGCTGTCAGAAGAAAGCATTAGACGTAGGTTTCGCACCAACTAGAACTTTTCTATAGAGTATATCTTGGATTCCAATACAAAATAATTTGTCACATTGAATTTTAATTCTTGTCACTGAGTTTCAAAGTTAGAGATGTTACCATTGAACTAGTTAGACTGAGATTAACGTCACATAGGACTAAGACAGTTAAAAACTAACTGATAACTCGTCAGTAAAGAATGGTAAAATGTCTAATCGTTATCGCTGACTGATTAATGGTAATTAAGTATTTTTCTATAGAAGTCAGAGGAATATTAAGAGGAAATGATCGATAAAATAGTAACAAGGTCAGTCGTATTTAATAAAAGCCATCTTATGTAATGATTATCTTGTATAAATATTTTCTAGTTTCAAAGATATAAACTTATATTATTTTGGTTGCATGAAATGGATGCTTTTAATAGTTTTACTGAAAAATATAACAACTGTCTTCCTAGATCATACTTTCCGTCCATCACGAAACCGTCGACATTCAAAAAATGGACGAATTCTGACTAACCTCGAGTCAAACTTCACTAGAATAGCACATAGATAGTAAATATCTATGATAAGTTGTCAAGCAATAAGTGAAATGTCTCTACCGTCCAGCTGTTTGAAGCTGATAATTCTTGTCATCCGTACATACATTTGTATAATCGTATTCTTAAAATGAAGCCATTCGATGACTGTTTACTGTATTAATCATTATTTATATTACCAAATTTATTTTATCTAATATATTGGATAGTGTTATTGTAGTGAACGAGAACAGAAATGGAGACAACCGTCTCGAGCAACACACACCACATTATGAAGGTCACGTGTGAAGAATTATTCGTTACTTTGTGACTTTCATTACGTCTCTGACCAAACACTACTAATCTCATAACCAAATCACATTGTCTTGAGTGAACATATTGTACACGAATGACAGCTGTAACTTTGTTTGGAAATAAAAGTTCTTTTCCCGTTAATGAATACTTTGGATCTCCGCATCTAGAAATCTTTTGCAGTAAATTTTACTCGTACTTTATTCTGAACATTTAAGGTGTAAGATTAGATCCAGAGTTTCTTGTCATATTCCATCTTATTATTCAGTATTATCAAATACATATCGTTATATCATGCCATGCAGTGTAATGAGCCAATTTCGATAAAAACAAAAAATAGGGGTTTCTTTTTATTCATAATAGACGGTATCACTCATTCTGTAAATTAAATTAACGCTAAATAAGCTATATTGCCTCTGCTGCTTCGAATGATAAAGTATTCATGTATTTTAGAAGTAATTATTTGCAGCCAATGTATATGGTTTATATCATAGTAATGCAGATTAGTTGAATATAAACAGTAGTAATGAGAGAATTATACAGTGGTAGAGTGGATGAATATTTATATGTTGCTGAGTGTGAAAATTCTAGAGGAAAAATTTTTAAACACATGAAGACGGTTTACATCAAGAACTGATCTTAATTAAACAACCTATGAAAACCGGATAGTAGTAGATAGTTGTCCAGTGTGAAGCAGTTAAAAATCTAAGACAGTGGAAGATGGTTGTTCAATATCGTCAATTAGTTAATTTTAGACATATATACCATTGAGTTGAAACTCTGTGGTTAAGAGATTAAGTGCTAACCGAGAAGGTTGAAGCTACTGGGTTCGACCTTGAGTATTGAAATGAATGCTCGAACCTGAGAAGTTCCATACTAGAACGAAATAATAGTTAAATGCTTCCTCATTTTTAATGATTGTCCAACTAAGGTCAGTTCGTGCACTGAAATATGAAAAATCTATTACATGAATTTAACAAAATAGAATATCAGTATTATAATAATGATTATAATCATTTATGATTTGACAGTTGACAATCCAATTAGTTTATTCGTTATAAACAAAACTGATTGGTTGATTAATTATACATACTGTTAGGTTAACTATTTCCTAACAATACTTTCCGGCCTAATAAATATGCAAATGTCTTTCGGATTGATACTTATTTAGGAATTATTACTGTATGTAGCCGAGTGTAAAACTATCAATAAATTTCAGTCTTGCGATTAACTATCATTTAAATACTTTATGCAATATCTTGGTATTAATTATTCAGTATTCCATTAGTATTTATGCATTTGTAAACGTCTATAGATGACATTCATCGTACCCGTCAAATGTTCGGAGGGAGCAGACATATTACTCAGCATTTAGAATTCCTCTTAGTCTATATGAATCAGTCCAATGTATTTGTGTGAAGGAACTGATTCTCCTACGCTATAGTGACAAATGCTACAAGGCAATAATCACCCTTCATTGATGGATTAGTGCAACAATCGTAGTTTTTTGTTCATTATACAACTACTTTTTGGTTCAGCAATGTTCTTCTTCTAAATAAACAATTAATCTAAATTAAATATCACTCAATTACTATCTGAATCAAGTTTGTACTCATTAGACAAAATACTGAAATCATGTGAATTATTCATAAATAGTAACTTCTTTAAATAATTGATAGTAATTAAAATCTTAAAAAATAAACACTTTAAAGTAGGGAAACTGAAGACCCGTTTTGAAAACTCGAAGTATTGAACCGATTAATGTTATAGAAATTTATCTCTCATTTTTACAAGAAGTCAGTCGAGATCCGAATAGCTTACTGGTGAAGGCTCAAACTGTGAAGCAGAG